AAGCTAGCTAGCTTCCCAGCCGATCGTATCTACATAAACTCGTAATTAAATCGCTCATCGTGAACCCTCGATAAGATATCAAGGAAGTTCCAGACTAGAAAGAAAACTTTATATTATTTGTAAATTTGTGAAACTTTTGTTTATAAATCATTGTTTGTAATAACGATTTGTAATTAACTGTTATTGTAAATTGTATTGTTGTGTGTATATTAAAACGTATTTGTGTTAAAAACAAAAACGGTGTGTATCAATCTTGTTGGCAAACATCATAAACTGACTATATATTGGTATACATTTAAATACTTTAACTACTAAATTTAAATTATCAGTTAACTCGGCTTCGGACTATTCGAAATTCTAATACGTAACACTGGCCATTGTGTGTTACGATAAAAAATGATAATAGAGCACGTGACACAGTATGGTACGACTATGATAACACTTGTAATACCGTGTGCTATAATGAATGATATTAATAATTAATGTAGCATCGTTTACTATGACTAGTAATAATAATAAGATGCAGGGTATCACATACTATGAATTACAAGGGTAAAAAATATATGGCAATGCATAAAATGATAATAACACATATGGTACTGTGTCTTATTACTAAAAATTACAGTAACATATGATACCACATACCATGATAAACAACAATAACAACACACGTGATATCGCATGTTCTGACATCGAAAGTGATAACACATGACACCACGTGCTATGATTAACAATGATAAAAGTATCGCATGTTATGACATCAACAACGATAACACACGTAACACCATGTGCTATGATTAACAGGGATAAAGGTATCTCATACTGTAACATACAAGAATAATAATTTACATGGTGCCGCATGCTACGATGTAGAAGAAAAAACACAAGTGTTACCGTTTTAACTATTAGTTGTTAGTTATTACATACACGCGCTCATGATGTCAAGAAAACACGTAGGTTAGACAATATCACCGAAAGACAAAAATAAGAAACCCTATAACCCAAGCGGTAGGCCTATTTTCATCAGGGGAATACTTACACTAAAGTGATATGAAAAATAAGGATAATTACATATACGAATCGCATGTTACGAAGAAGAAGAATTATGCACAAACTCAAAAAGCAGGGGTAATCATACATACATCATCTGTTGTTATGACGAACAAAGATGATAATATAGGTGGATCACGTGGTACTTTGTATAAGGCTTATAACACAGAGTGCAGGCCAACACGTGAAAGAAAAACATACGAACAAGTAAAATAAAGCACTGTGTTTCAAATGTTAAAACATACGACAGAATACATGACGTGCTACAACCTGGCTATCTGAAACCTGCCCATGAGATAAACCAGCTGTACTCAATCCCAAAAAGAAAACTTATCCTGAAAGCCGATGATAGATAGTCAGATGTTATAGATTTTGTTCACAAACCGCAACCGATCGTTCCAGCTTGAACTACGTCCTTCCATCTGTTATTACCGAAAACTAAACGAAAAACAAACAAACTGCATTTGAAGACTTTCTTGAGAGTAGCGTTTGTCAGTCTTAGAGATTCCAATAATAAATAATCGGCCAGGGAATATAGTTCGCTTCCTTCTTAGGTCTGCCAAGATGGAAAACAAAAGTTATCCATTTGTTAGTCAAGCAAAAAAATCTTCCTTTTATCTAGAGACGTTGGACACTCATAAAACACTATTGACAAAGTGTATTAATTACTTTTCAGCATGCTATACGAATTATTTTGTGTATTGTAATTATTTCGGGTTGATCTTGATAACTATTTATGCGTTAAGTGTAGGTCGACATAATCTTGTTTGTAACTTCCGAAGTTGAAATTGATGGAAATATATTGCATATAGTGACATCTAGAAGGATTCGTAGGAATTATGAAGAAAAATAAGAAGTGTTTTATATTTGTGGTTTTTAAATAATAATAATTGACGGTATTCTCATAATTGACAATTATAAAATAAGCATTACGAGTTTACATTTTTAAACAAAATTTTCAGAAGCATATTTTTTAATTTGATGTATTTCTTAAAACAATTTACTGTATATCACCATCATTATTCTTAGATACTCGTAATATCCAAATAGTATATTTTTTGCTTTGAATTAAAAAATTAAAAATGTTCAACAGTATTTATATAATAATATTGCAAGTTTTATAAACAATTGCTTAATTATATCGGAAAAAGGTTTAGATATAAGATCAATAGTGAAAGTTGTTTTTAAATGTTTTCTTTAACTACTTAATATCTTTCCATACTTATTACATAGTCGATTTCCAAATAATCAAAAAAACCTGATATGTCAAGCTTATTATATTCACAGATAATAAGTTAAAAGTAAAACACATATTTCACTATATATAATTTTTGTACGCTTAGTAACACTTCATTACGTATCGTTTATTTTATGAACCTCTATGAGCCAAAACTGAAGTTTGAGACCTTGAGAACCTCAGGACTTATGCCAGCTAGAAAGTTTGTTCACAGCTTTATTTGTTGAATCATTTTTATGTTATTGTTCAGTCGGTTTTATTTATATATTTTTACTGCAAATCTTTTTATGTAGATGAATTCCGGGGTAGATTAAGCAGGGGTTATAGGGGGCTGAAGCTCCAGACCTGGGTTCAAAAAAGCCCGTCTTCGTTCTCTTTAGGAAAAATGCTTAATAAAAATCATTAGATCGAGAGATAGAGTTTATGTATGACGTGGGTAGGCTATTGTGTAATGTAGAGTGTAGATATTTGATTGGCTCTCCTCTGAATAGTGTGACTAGTTGTAACCTTGCTCTGACCTAGCATACTTGTATACAAATTGAAATGCAAATATCTAGGTCTGAGCGAGGCTAGACCTAGTCATGCTAATCGAATGATAGCCTCGGCCAATGAAAATCTCTTCACTCCATGTTTTCATGATGCTGTCAGCCAGGCTCCTGTCTTAAGGGCTGGCACTCAACACGTAGTTTCATGTCCCATGATCAAGCTGTAGGACTACAATATGACTAGACCTAAGATGCTAGGCGATATTGAAGATATCTATATTATTGGATTCTAAATTCTGAAATGCTTGGAAATTTACAAGGTAAGTAACAGTATTTCAAGCTTTTGTTTATGTTTTTAAACAGAACTTGCAAATTGTTAACCCGTAAAATATTCATAATTACTTGTGGGCTTATACTGGCCCACTTATCAGCTGTAAATGATTCGTTTATAACTTCACAAGCATCATTAATAAAATACACTCACCCAAGTACAAAATTTGAAATTTTTGAGTTAAGTACAAAAAATTATATGTGATCATTTGTTACGAAACTGTTAAGTAGCTCGTTTTGGCATCTCTTTCTCACTCTCTTATTCTCTCTCTCTCACACACATACGCACACAACCACTCAAACACACACATACATAAGTACGCTTATACGTGCAAACGCATATTATTCATTAAGTGTTCATCTTATCTATTATATAAATGTACAAATACAGGATCGGTTGGAAAGAGCTAAAGCCAAATAAAAAAGTAGAAAAAATCAAAGAAAGTAGGAAGTTAACGGATTTATGGGCTTCGTCCTCTAGTGCTGTAACTGTCGCCAACCCAAACAGTGTGTTACGTCTCCGTTCGTTAGTTAATTTTCCGGAAATTCATTCCGACGAAACTTTAGCGACACAAGTCCTTCCTTAAATAAAACTGGTTTATTCTTTCTGAATATAACTTTACGATACACTTAATTTCAACATTCGCGCTAAAATAAATGCTATGACAACGAACGTTAACTTCAACAATACTCCCTGACTGCAGATCAATTACTCACTACCTACACACACATTGTCCCGTCACGTTGTGACCATGTTGTATATACAAGACTAACACATATCTAGTAGGCTCCCGATAATTCACGAAGGTTCGAGAGAAGTGGCGAGATATTAGTCCCGTGACCTCGCTGACGCAACAGTATTTTGACCAGCAATATGCTCTCTGCTGTTTGTTTTACGAATAGTTAGCAAACAAATATATTCTGAAAAATTGAAAAAATGAATGTAGCAAGAAGCAGATATACTTTTTTATTTACATAAAACAATCATTTTTCTTCGTATATAGCTTTCATTTTTGGAGCAGTTAGCCCATGTATTTGTTTTGTTTGAGCGAAAAGCTATACACAATGGGTTATCTGCGGCATGTCCACCACAAACAATTGAACCCCGGATTTTAGCATAGTAAGTCTGTAAACTTACCGCTGATTCACTGGAGAACTCGGGTAGATGGAATTATAAGCATACATCTATAGCAAGTGTTAACCCGGTTTTATAAGGATACCCTTAGTAACATTTTGTCAATCGTGCTTGAAATTTATAAATAATTATTAGCCCCTTCCTCCCAAGTGGCTCACTTGTATGTCTGAAGGCTTGTGATGCTAAACACCGTTGTGAGTACATCACAGGTGACTATTGTGTAGTTTTGTGCTTAACAACAAACAAACAAACTGATTGATGGAACGTTCACAAACGCATGAATATCATTTTTCTGACAATAGAGGGATATACATATATACGTATGCCTGTATAAATGGCATTTGTTCATATTGCTGATTTTCAACCTCTGTAACTAGAATCTTCTCACAAAATAGGTTTTAATCTAAGCTATTCACCTGCAGTATTTCAGCTTATATTACTAACTGAACTTCTGATCTATCAGAAATCGCATTGAGTAATAAGTTTCAATCCTAACATTAGCCTTATCAAGTTTCTAGTTTTTCTTGCTATAACGTTTTTCATTAAACTTTGCTTGTCAGAAATTTGAGTATTTGCTTGATAAGAAATGGAAGACTACATTTTGTTTGACCTTAAAGAGGATTACCTGGTTATACTCATGACTAGATGGGTGACAAAGGACAGTTAAAGAGGATTACCTGGTTATACTCGGTATCACCAGATTTTGTGGACTCCTCTGATAAGACAAGGAGTGGCTAGATTTCTTTCCTATCTTTTTCTGTTTCCATGGAACTAGTGGAGGGTCCCACAGAGACAGTGGTGAACTGAATTGATTCTACAGGCTTTGCAGCTGGGATAGTTGGCTCTGGTGTTGTCATAACGTCCACGGAGAGCACTAGAGGGGACAGAGTCAATGCCAGTGTTGGTAATAATACTTAAGACTCCAGACAAACTGCTTGCAGCTCCTGAGAGAACCTACATATACTAGGTCTTTGCAAGCAGAAGATCCTCGTCTATCAGCTCCTCTTTAGCTGTCCTTTGTCACCCATCTAGTCGTGAGTATAACCAGGTAATCCTCTTTAGCTGTCCTTTGTCACCCATCTAGTCATAGAATGACATTTACGTCACTTTCTTCAATACCATTCAATAAAAAAAACAAAACAAGAAAGACTTTCCCAGGACTGAAGCTTCACTCCAAAATACTGAAGAAGCCTAGGTATATCAAGTAATCACTGTGCTGTATGCGTCCATAATCCAAGATGTCAATGTGGGAGCATCCAAACTAGGCAAGGCCACCCAGCCCTTCATGATGACAATCTTGGCAATGATATATGCCTGCACAATCAAAGCTACTGATAACAGCCCTTGCCTCAATATCAATCTACTAAGTTTGAACCAAACATCACTGATAGGCTCGGCAGCTAAGTGGGCATAGATTTGAGCAAACTGCCAGTCTAAGGATGGTTGATGCAGGGGCTCACCCAACATCAGTGAGTCCAAGGTAGTCTAAGAGTTCCACTAAGCCCGGGAAGAGATGGTCACGACTCAGAAAAATCTGACAAGAGCAAAGAAAATAATCTGGAAAACGACAACTTCCAATTGAAAGTCTCCAGCAATTTTGGTGAAACTTTTATCATAAATGCAGTATACAGAGAGATACACGTATGATACATACACACACACACACATATATATATATGTGTGTGTGTGTGCGTTTATATACACATATGTTTACTTTAATATTTGTCACAATTTCTTCATTGTTTGGAACACATTACTTTATATATATATATATATATATACATATAATGTATGACTTTACCCTTCTTCATAGATACCTCAAAGTAGCTATCAGTCTTTTCACTTAGAACTGCAGTTTTTCAATGATATGTAAAATGTATGATTATACCATTTTTATTTAATAACAGAGATAGTAACTTGCATCATTATTGTGCAAAATACTTGCGTCTATAATATGCGTGACATTATCCTTCTAATACCAGCATTGTGATTTAACTAAACTATTATAGGGTGCTTTTATCAAATGTTCTTGTTATTGATAATTGATTCATATTTTTAAAGGGGGCTGTATTGACGTATGTTGTAAATTGTCAGTTATTGCTAATGGACGTATTCGCATTTTCTATTATTGTATCTTTTGTGCTTCATTGTTAAGTGTTGCCTTGTATATACATATAATGCTCTGTAAGCGTTTTACACAACTAAGAGGTTACATCAGCTTCACGACTAATACATAGCATTCAATTTTAAGTTTGATTTTAAAATTTGAAGTTATGAATGGAAGAGGTCAGCTTGAAGTGAAAGGGAAAGGTAGTCTTTCAAAATACTAGGCGTTTCTATTCACTTCTACTTTAAAAAGGTGATATTTTTTCCATTTTCTGAGAATTTTCGAAGTTGTTCAAATGTATACTTTTATAAAGAGTTGATTCTGAAGCTTGTCTTACTGATTTGGCTATGTTTACTTGTTGTGCTGAGCCATTCCTCTTTTGTGTTACGTGCACTTTACCGTGGAAAAGATTGCTATAGAAATGTATTGTTGAATATATTATGTAAAGGAGGACAGTGATTGTTTCAATTGAGAGGTCAGTTGATACCTTGAAGACATTTCTTCACATATTTGAACTTGTGGAATGGCTACTGAGAGATGTCATTGTAGAATATTGTAATTAATGGTATGCTCTTTTGCTCTGCAAAAACAACACAAAGAAAATAAAGTCAAGTTTACAAAGAAAGGCATTTCCAGTATAAAATTGTCTGTTTTGTATCTACCTTTCAATTCATTCAGGAAGTAAATTCACTTTTGCCTCTGAATAACATTTTCTGCTTAACCTTTTTTTTTTGTCCGGTTAATACTCTTATCTTTAAAGTTACCAATGTACCTGAGAATACAATAAAACAACTATCTTCAACTTTTCTAGCTCTTATCAAAGACTTTGTGTCAGTGTAAACTACTTGTACCTGATGATGACAAAACCTTGTCGAAACGTTGTACATTTGCTGTTATGTTAAACTTATATTAACGTTTTTCTTCATTAACCATTCAAGCCGTCTCCAAGCATTATTAGTATCAGACTATTGTTTTGTTACACGAAAACAAGCAGAGTTTCAATATGTTGGTAAGAACCTTGTTCTAAATTGCTGAATAAAACGATATAATTGTAGCTATTGAATGAAAATAATGATTGACTTTTGTTTACATGTAACTATGTGTATTTGGTACTGTCACCGACATTTTATAGACCTAGGGCTAGGATGGTTTCCTTGGATGTATCCATTACTGGCTGGTTGAAGCGTTGTATCCTTTTCAGTTCTCATTCGTTCTTCTCACTGTGGTGTGATTGTTTTGGACCAGCTGAACACACTTGGAATGTCACCTGGTTTTGCTTATCTATTTTGGGGTGAAGGTCCGAACAACAAAGTAAAAAAATATGTATTATTTTTTTACTTTTATAATATTTATTAACAATCACTTCCAGGCCCACTATAGATTTTAACATACGGGGTAAGTATTATAGCAATATTAGTCTCTATCAAGTATCATGCATTATATAAGCCCAATTATAGGCCTATAAAAATAATTTTATAGGCTAAGTTTATCTAAATGAGACGTGGTAGTGGGGGTGAATGTATTTTAAAAATAAATTTTCAAACTTTATTCAACATAAAAAGGTTATAAAATGGGAATAATTTTAGATAAATTTCTAACTGAAAAGTAGCATTTTTGAAAACTTTATTAAATATAGGCCTACTATATCTAGTTACAGATATATAGATGTCAAGCACAAAGTGGTCATGACAAACAACATCTCCTTTCTTCGATTTCCACTGGTCTCGTCCGAACGCATGAAGCCACTT